GACTCTGTGGTCCATGACGCAGCAGAAGTAAAGTGGTATTGAGCAAATGTTAATTTTACTCGTCTTAATTCAAAGCATGATCTTACTTTTTCCAAGGTAGCTATGACCTATTGTATGTAGGTACGATATATCATTTGACTTTTCTTGTATCCCCCAAACTATCCTTATTCATTGTGGAAGCACACAATTGGAGAGCTGATGATACTATAGCAGAAAGCATGCCTTTGACCTCTTCGATTCAAACACATAGTGCTCTCTAGCGCCGCGCTTTTTGGAATGCGTGTTGTACTATGGTGACCGTAATGTGCAGAGAAGCTACGACATGTCATCCAATAGCACTTTTTTGAGTTAACTATACTCATCTCGTCCGTTACGCCGCCTATATGATGAATTACACAACCTTGTAATTTAGACCGTAACATTGACTTACCTGTCAAGAAAGAATCCAGGACTTCCAGCGTCCTTTTCAAGACTTTCTCCTTCATTAGCTCTATCCCCTGCAAAAACCCATCCCGATATTTACCCTCATTTTTGAATTTGCCAGTCACGTTTCCTTTTAGATTACATTTTTAAGCTTTATCATAACTACGAGGATTGCATTATGAAAGCACCGTGCAGTGCGGCCTTTCAAGCGCTCTCACTGACCTCCTTGGTCGCTTCAGATGGTTTCAGTCAGCCGGTACTGAATGAAAATGCGTTGCAGTGACAGTGCTTTTTTTTTTTTGTCCCTCTTCGTTATTATAGTTTTCAAAATGACGGGACACATGGAGGCCTCCATGGACTCACCCGTCAGATCATTGTCAGAGCTAATTTTACACCAACGAGATCATATTTATGAATAAAGACATTGATTTTAGCTATAAGAATACTTTTTAAAAATATAATGTACCTTGAATTTCAGATGTGTAAAAACTTTAAATTTTACAATTACATTTTTCAACCGAGTCAATCTACACGTGAGAGATCTTCAGAAGTCATAACTTCAGGATCCAGAGAATATTTAAATTACCCTTAAAACAAAGATTAAGTTTAATGACACTAGTTTTTGCAATGTCACTTTTTAAATGAAAATCTTACTTTAATGTTTGAACAAAAAATTCAAAAGTGCTTCTACATATTTGCTGTGCTCTGCCGCAAGGCCATAAACTGGTTCTTTTTGTTTTATAAATTGACTTTTTCTAATTTCTACAAATATCAGCCTGATAAATATGGACTTAATACACAATGAAACAAGATAATCATGCTACGAAATACGTCTGACACAATGTTTTTAAAGAAAAGTAGTGTTTTTAAAATTTACCTAAACCATGATAACAGATTCTTTCTTTTGACAGACCTACAGAAATGCATGTTGATTACTAAGTTTCAGGCATAGTGCAACCATGCAATGATTGAGAAAGCTAATATTGGTGTAATATTTGTTCAGTCTCACCCTCACGCTGATCCAGACATAGCTTTACTAAAAGGAAATATCATGGAAGTCGAAATATCAAACTTTGTTCAAAAATTGTTCTCTGACCCGAAAATAATCAGATAATGGAATGTTCAAAAACTACAATTAGATATTCTCCTGCTTAGTATGTGTGTAATTAGTTGGGCTTAAATATTTGGATGTATTTTGTCACACCATAGCGATGCAAAGTACCACACTTTTGTAAATCCTGTGGACTAACTTTAAAACATATTCTTTATACAGGAATCACACGTGTCCAAAACAACCATGTAAGATTCAACAGACCAAATCACTAGGAAAAGCACTGTGTATAATAATTCATACACAAAAGTTAACAAATGATGGTTTTATTACTATTCAGATAGCTAGTAGATGATACTGTTTCACATTTTGTATGTTGGACCGTATGTATTTTAGGTGAAGACTTTTCTTTTACAGCAGTCAATATTCAGTGTTTACCTGCAGATAACATTTCACGGAGTAAAATCTAGAAATCAACTTGCTAAAAAGTAAATACAACATACAGAAAATTGATCAGTTTTGAATGTTTGTAATTGACATTTTATATACTAGTCGATTACGCCGTTTACAGCCTGCTTCTTTTTGCTTTTGTACAGTATGCAAAAACTAGTCTCCGACCGTGGTCAAACATATAGGAATTTATGAAAAACATGAACAGATATTTCTACACAAGATATTTCTTTCAGAACATCTTTCAGCTATGTCTACAAGACATTGACATGAAAAATGACTATTGCTGTTTTTTTTTTTTTTTTGTTACCTAAAAACTATTATAAAACTATTATACTTCAAACTCGTCTAGAACAGTCATAGATACGCAGGTATTTTGTGTATGTGGCTTTTTTCTTATTTCTGGAAGCTCTAAAAAATGTTGTTATTGACTTTGGGCAAGAAATTCAACTTTTAAATGACAAAATAGACTGTCTTGATTAAAATCAATTAATGTCATGTGACTAGTGTGAAAGGTCACATGACCAGATCAGTTCACTTCCTGCTTGCACATCTAGAAGAAGATTTCTTCCTCAGACTACTAAAATAAGTAGTATATAAAACATCTTAATTTACAGATAGAACTATCAAATTTTGTGCATATATTCTTTGAAGGCTCTACTACTGATATATTTTGAGAATTATACTCCTGAATTTATATTTTGCTCGTAAGACTTGTAAATTTGTTTACGGTCACAATTGTGGCCGGTAGTATAACAGTGCTTCAATTGAAAACACAGGTATTTGCAGATATTGCCGGGTATTGGCAATCCTACACTCAATATGCCACATCTGTGAGGAGGATGGATGATCTCGGCGAAGGAGAAGTGCTCACTAACACAGATTTAGACAGATTTGTGAACAATATTTGAGAGAAATAGGCCTTTTGTGTACATAGAAATGGTCTAGATCTTTGAGTTCAGCTCATGAAAAATGGGGGCAAAAACAAAAGTGTTGCATTTATAATTTTGTTTAGTGTAGTTATCAGTATCCCAGAAACGTTCAATGTGTTGGACCTTCTCGATGTGCATGACCCCCCTTCCCCCCCACCCCACACCCCCAAATTGAAAGTAACTGTGATAGTGATAGCTCAGATAGGGAGTCCCAGGGTGAAACGGCCCATTTGCCTGGTAGACTATTGAATGGCGATGCAGAGGTGAACTATCTGGAGGATTGTGCAGATGTTCATGAGAACCAAATGGTGTGCCCACACATGACCACAAACAACCCTTTCTACAACATTCGGCCCATCTTCAATGCACTGAAAGAGTGCACACACATCTACCTGAAACTGGCCTAGGACAGGGCCCAAGTGTAGACATGGTCTAGCCCATAGGGGTCTAGCCGAACAAGCAGAAGTTCCTCCAGGGTGTAACTTTGTTCATAACAACCTTTTCACTCACTAAGCCTTCTTCACGAAATGACAAAACGAGATATTGGATG